AATCAATTTTTAAATTTAAATATCAATATTTAATATAATAATTTTTTAAATTTTAAATTAAATTTTAATTAATAAAATAACATATTTTGAAGACTAAAATTTTAATTTATTTTAGAAACTAGAACTAATAAGCAACTTCTTTCTTTTAAAAAAGTACAATTCATTTTGAAAAAATAATTTTTCACTAAAGAAGATTGAAAAAGAAAAAAGAAAAGAAAAGAAGCATGGATCGGGCTGGATACGAGTGGATGTGCTGACTGCTGAAGAGAGTAGGCCCACAACGAAGAACAAGACACAAGGCCCAGATGAAACCCACGATCCACGCCATCGGAGCTGTCGCGTACCTCTCCAGGGCTGAAGAAAACGCAGGGTGGCGATTGCAAAAGAGGACACGAGGTCATGGAGGAGGAGAATGAAGGTGGTGGCAGCCAACGGAGCCAAACCCACATCCACAACCACTACTTGTGGGCCCTGGCAAGCGCCGCCCAGTTCGGCTGGGCCATATCTGCATATCGGAGAGGGTATGCCGGTGACCATCGTCTGATGCCCTTCAAAGCTTTCGGTGTCGCATCCCTTTTCATCGGCGCCTCCGCCTCCGGCGCAGTCGCCTCCCTTCAAGCCTCAGGCATCCAAAAGGTGGAGGATTTGGTGGAGCTCGGAGCTAGTATAAGGAATGGACTCGGAATTCCTAAAAGGGCACGAGACGAGTGAGATTTTCCCTTTCCCCACTCCTAGTACAGTTCTAGAAATTTCCTGCATTCTCTTTATCTTCCTAGTCCTTTGATAGAGTTTCATTGTTCGAATTTGGATTCTGTGGTTTGTAGTCTTCGCATTAGCAAAGGAGATGCAAAGAATGTCTACTTAGTTTTGTAGGGAAATCAAGAACATCCTGCTTCTTTTTAAGAAAGATTACAAGATCAGCGAAAACAAGTCTCTATATTTATTGATTGTAAACTTCTTTTCATCATGAATTTGCCAAATGGTATGTCAAATCAGTTGCAGATTAATAAGCATTCATTTTGGTGAATGCACACTGAAACATAGTCATGGAGGGCTTAAAAGAGAAATGGGCGAAATCCCAGACATATTTTCCCCATCTCTGCATGTCATTTATGTTTCTCTTAAGCTAAACCAGAGAGATCAAAACTGGGACTTGGGAAACATAGCTGGACCATTTTTCTTCTAGAAGAATTGGAACTTCTGGATGACTGGTAGCAGGATCGAGTTATGTACCAAACAGCAGAAACAAAAGAGATGAGAACCTAAACTCAGCTGCTGGTGGGCTTGTATGCTGGCAAATATGACTCCAGCATTAGCTCTACTCGGGAAGGTGAAGTGATTTGAACAATCAGGTATGTGTATTTCCATTGTTTGTCTGTTTGGTCTTTGAACATACTAGCAAAAACTTTGCCAAATCCATGGGGACCGCGGATGTAGAAATTAACCTGTTCAGGAAGGAATGACATGTAAATCACAGATCGATATTTACACATCCCTTGAGTTAAGGGTATAGCCACCAAATGTGAAAGAATTTCATGATGTTTAAGTAATGGTTCTATCTCAACATGTTCCACTCCATCTTCATCCATATACGCTCTATTAGGAATGCGTTGGCAAGCAGCACGGTTTCTACTTTCTTGGCCATAGCCAGTAATAGGATGCCCAAGTCTCACCCTTACCTGATGCAAACAAATGTAATCCAATGCGATTAAATGATGTTTTGCACATAGAATATCATTGCTTACTTGGGTAAGCTTGAAAATCACTATGAGCAAATAGCCAAATATTTAACCACTGCTCAAGAAACACGAGAGTCATCATGAATTCTTTTCAAGACAAGGGTATATTAATCTTTTCTCTAACCTGACTGTCATCTTGAATTCTTTTCAGAGCTTTGTTGAAAATCTTATACCTATAGAAAGATCATGGTCTCAAATAAGGTTGCAGGTGAAGAAAGACTTATATCCCAAATTACTAACAAGCATGACTTGGACATTTTCACTCTTACTCTTTAGGTTCAAAGATCAGCTCCTTGAAAACAGCATATCCTGCAGCAGCTGCAATGCCAAGCCCTGCAAGAATTACGACACTGTAGCCAGCACCCTCAGTAAACGTCACTGGTTTTTCAGGGATGTGGTATGTAGGAGAATCAAAGGGGTCCTCAATGGTAAATACTTCTTTCTTAGCCTGAAAATGTTAATCAAATACATACAAGTTAGCCTTCCAAAGTTAATAGAACACTAGTAGAATTGAAGCAACCGTTAACTTGTAGAGAACATAATTTGCAGCTATTATGTGAATTGTAACCAGTAACCATATGGCTAATGTAAGGCTAATTGAGATAATTATAAGTTTATTATTGTTCCCTAGCAGCAATAAAGAAAACCCTTAGCAGATGGATTTTTCTCCAGCAAAGGATTTACTGGGCTAATATTTCATCCTTTGCCAATGCCTCACGGGAATTTCATCCCTGAATTTAATGAAATAAATTGACCTGTGTCTGACCATCCAAAGGAAGACAAGATGGCTAGAAATTTATCATCTTTTTAATGAATCCTTCTTCAGGATCCTTACAACAAGTAACTGCCTTACTAGAAAAAGGAAGATTAAACTTACATTTGCTGATTAGTCTAAATTATAGCTCAAATCAAACATGCAGACCAAGTGGCAATAGCATGGAAGACCTTTCTTTGGTTTATTGCTGATTATGAATGTAAGCACACAAGTTAAAAACCTTTCTTCTCAGATTCAGACCTCAGATTGTGTTTTTTCCGATTGCTTTGAAGCTTTTGATGCAAGGGATCTAGCAAAGGGGGGAATGGGGAGCAGGGCATAGTTTTTCACAAGCTGAGGTGCTGACTGACAACCAATTAGACAATCTCTAAGTTGTTGTCCTCTTAGTAGAGCAGAGGGTGCTGCCAAAATTTATCATCAGGACACTATCATGGATTTGCAGAATGATAAAAATAGAGAACTATTATTCATAAGCTAATCCAACTTAACTTAAATAAAAGATTATACTGAAAGAAAATAATAATAAAAAATAAAAATAAAAACTACTTGAGCAGCTTTTATCCCATTTGTAAAAGCAAAGTTTCCTTTAAACGTGATGCTAAGGACATGTAAACTCACAATAATTAATAAAGAGCACCAAAATATAGTGCATGACAATTAAAATTCATAGAAATTACTAACATCAGCCATTAATGGGTCATAAAAAACAATTCTCAATCTGACAACAACAGTGAAAAAAGAATCCATGAAACATGCACCAATATTTGACAAATGCTGAATAAGGCACTTGCAAAGAGTAATAAATGAGATCAAGCATATTGTATATCAAAAAAGTTTCAACCCTAATTTAAAAGATCAGCTATTTGTTGTTTGGAGATATAATCTCGTATTAACAGACTGTTCCAATCTTGTAAACCGTAGGTTGTATTTTGGTAAGACCATGTGCTAGGAAATTAAATTCCTTGCAATGTAAACCAATGAAGATTGTAAACAACTATATTTTAGTCAGGCAGAGTTTTTGAGAAAAGAATGGCTACAAAATTTGCTTAGAGTTTGACATCTACACGCACAAACAAGAATCCAATTGATGGAAGAAAGAAAATACTGATGAGGAAGAAAAATCTTCAATTTGCAAAAATAAATTGATTGAAAACGCAAGGATGGCACTGGCACCACCATAAAAAGGTGAAATCAATTGCAGAGCTTAATGTATAATGCTGACAGACATAGGATAGCATAATCCTCACAAAACTGATATCAAATATGATTAATCAATGCATCAGGACAATGTGGGGATGTCTCCTAAGATAGCCCAGAGAGGAGTTAGTGCGCAACCTGGCCTGAGATATCGTGACAGTTCAAACCAACAAAATAAATCAATGCAGTAAAACACTACCCTTCAGCTCCAATCACACCCTGTAGAATCAAAACAAGAAAGCAGTTAGTTTAGAGACATACATAAATGATAACTGCCTATGAATGAGAATTAACAGACTCAAACTACGCATGAGATTAACATCTGTTGCACACCGTCTTACAAAACCAAACCTCAAAGTCTCAAACCCACTTGAATTCATTGTCATAGAATACAGATAATGATAAACCCATTTGCTCAAAAATCAAATACCTATATTATTTGGGCCTAAAGTCATTTGCCTCATTGCCCACAATATTTCACACATAAAATCAACCATTTACAAGTTTACTGCTACCATGACGTATTACAGTCTCTTAACAAGAAGGAAAAACGTCCAGAAAATAGCAATGGCAAATGAGAACAGAAGCAATGCCCAAGGGGAGAACCACCAGTCCAAGTAGAAGTACCGGAAAAAATCATACCTTTCTTGCAGAAGATGAAAAACCAGCCAAACCCACATCAGAAAAGCACTTAGCAGAATTATACTCCAAAAAGGAACGCAACCCGTTCTGAGATTTCAGGACGGAAAGCCATCTGTTCCCAGTGGACACTGCTGACCTCCTAATATACTGCATCTCCGAATAAACGAACTAAAATCACTTATTCCACAACTCAATATATGAATAACTCAAGAATTGAACAGAAGAGTAAACTCAAAATCGAAAAAAGAGAAATTTCAAAATGCTGACTTGAGGAACGCTGTTGTGAGGTGAGAAAGGAAGCAAGACAGCCAACGGAGAACCAAAACCAGTTTGAGGGGTTCTATTGCAGACACGTGCGACCTACAGCTCTATCCGCACGTGTTGATGCCCCGGCCTTTTCAGTTGGGCTTCGGGATTTTCTTGAGCTCCAATCATCCTTTGTTCCTTCATTCTGTTCGGTCCGTTGGGCCTATCAATCGCACCTTTTTGGGTTAGGTGAAAACCGTGAAAGGTTTGTTAGTTTGTTTGTTTAGTTTAGTTTAGTTTTTTGTTTTTTGTTCTTTTTAAATACTATAATTATAATATTATATGATATTATAAATTAATAATATGATATATTATTATATAATTAAATTTTTTTATTTAAGAATTCACCTATAATATTACATGTATTCGTTCATTTAATTTATATTATGATTGCAAGTTTACAATTTTACATTATATTATAATTATAACACTATTTTTTTTTATACGCTCCTTTCCTTTCTTTTTTTATATATATATGAGTTGCTTTCAATGTGCTGAATTGTCCTATTATTAAAAATGTTTTGTGTATAATCTATATTGTACTAAATTATGCAAAATTAATCACTAAATAAAAACACACTCTTACATAATGATTCTAATTTTACAATTTAAACTTCAGAATTGAGAACCTATTAATTATATACATAACATAGTATGTGTCAATTTTACAAGATCATGTTTGGTTGAGGGAAAGGGCATGCTTTTTCCCATATCAATGATAACAACCTTCATGCTACGTGCATTTTAGCACCACAAATTTAGCAAAGTGCTTTTTCCAACAAACCTATGAAAGAGCATTTTCCTTCAAACAATAGCACATTTCTCATCATAAACCAAAGTACCAAACACAACTAAAAAAAGTAAACTTGAGGGTGAGTACTCCCCCACAACCAAACCTTCACAAATTGCCAAAGTCTAGTGTGTGATGTGTCCCTTTAGAATTCAATTTCTCTTTCCAGTAGGCCGTTGACAGTGCATTCCAACCAATCTACACTCATTGCAAAAAAATATTGATATTCTTTTTTTTTGGCAAAAACCCTTCTTAAGCTCCCAAACTTATTTCAAAATAGCATTTAAACCCCTATACTAGAAATGAAGCAAACAAACCCTCAAACTCTATTAATGATGCAAATAAACCATTCTCATTCATGGGTATTCATGCTTTTAAAGTGATATTAAATATGAAATATTGTTTGGCCTTTTTGTGAAAAGAACTTATTTGCATTGTTAGCAGAATTAGAAAACTTATTTGCTTTACTTTTAATTTAAGAGTTTAAATGCTATTTTGGGATAAGTTTAGAGGTTTAAATGCTATTTTGGGGTAAGTTGAGGGGCTTAAAAATGGTTTTTGCCTTCCTTTTTTCACTAGAACCATTTTTCTCATAAATAAATAAATGTTTTTACAATGTTAACAAAATATTAAATATATAGATTTTTAACAACCGCCTAATAATGGTACTAATTATTGTAATATTATTTTTTAGATTTTTTAATAAAAAAAACTATAGGAGAATTTGGATTATATTAGATTATATAAAAGAATACTTGAATGCGAAAGAACTTTTTGTTATTGAATTTATCTCTTAATTTAAGAATAATATTGTTATAGTTATAATACTACATAAATTTGAAATTTATAATTTTATGTAATATTAAATGAATATAAAGTAATATTAAATATATATAATATTATAAGTAAAATTTTAATAAAAATAAATTATAAAATAATATATTATATTATAAATTTATAATATAATATAATATCTATAGAATTTTTTTAAAAAAAGTTAAAACTTATATTTATAAATTGAAATTTTAATTCAAAATTTATAAATATAGTCAAATTTTAAATTTAAATATTAATATTTAATAAGATAAATTTTTAATTTTTAAATTAAATTTTAATAAAATAAAATAAAATAATTTAAAATTAAAACTTTAAATTTAAAAAAAAAATTAAAATTAATATACATTTTTAATATGCACATAAATATAACATTTTTTAATTAAAAAAATCATAATTTTCAGTTTAATGAGTTCAGGTAGAAAATTGAGTTCTATCTTTCTCGAATGGCCAGAAAGAACTGCAAAAAAATATTAAAGAAAAGAATTTTGTAATATTTTTATGACATTATTACCGAACAGCGATTCTTTCTCTGTCTTCGCCTTGGCCATTCCAGTATTCCGCTCTCTGTTTTCTCATTTCGTCGCCTTAATCTCAACCCTAACAATTTCTAAATCTATCTTCGATTTTAGCACTTGAATTCCTCTCTGGTCTCCGATTTCTGTCAGTGCGGTTAGGGTTTTGATTTCTTCTACTGCCAATGTTAGCGTCGGGAGATTGTCTGAGCAGAGGGGGATTTTGAATGTTGATAGTGCAATAATTTCGGCGATTTGGATTCGAATTGCTTGGGAAAAAGGGTTTTGCCGTGGACTTGAAGATCTGCGGCTGACGAAATGGCCACTGACTTGCCGATGAGCCCTGAGTTGGAGCAGATCCATGGTGAAATTCGCGATAATTTCCGTGCTCTTGCGTATGTCTTTCTCTCTAGCTTCAATTTCTTCACTTATTGAGTTGGGTTTGAGGTTTATTTGTCTATTATTAAGGTTTTTATCTGTTTTTCGATTGCCTTTTAGTGTGATTGGATATTATTAACCGATCCAAAAAACCTAAGAAAAAGCTTAGAAAAAGAGTGTTTGATTGATGTGTTAATTGACTAAAAATGATAATTGAAAAAACCTATGATGTTGTGATTTTTTATGGAACTTTTTTCAATCTGGATTGGTGCAGCAGAGTTTAACTCGTACTGTAGTTGTTAATCGAAAACAACATTAACCAAAGAACTTAAGTCTAAATTCCTGGCCTTGTTTTATATCTGTCTTATCTATATCACCTCGACCCATCCCTAACTTGGCCTCTTCAGGTTGATTTTCATGGGGGTTTTTTTTTTTTTTTTTGGCTAAGTGGTTGCATGTTGTCTCAATTATTTTGATCACAACATTTGGTTAATTGCTAATGATTATGTTATAACCGTTGTACTTCTTTTTTAGAAATGGCTTTCAGAAGCTCGATAAAATCAAAGATTCCAATAGGCAAAGCAAACAGCTGGAGGAACTCACTGGGAAGATGAGGGAATGCAAAAGGTATTCTATTTCTCCTGTATTTTTCACATTCCTCAGCTAATGGTGTCATGCTGAATATTTAATTTTTTTTTTCCTGTGGCATTACAAGTTTGATTGGGAACAAATATTAGTTTCCCAGGTGTTTTTTTATGCAGCAACTGAGTGCTTGCATGGTTTTAGCTGCTGACAAGTATTAGTCTTTTTCCAGATCTATGCCTTTCTAAATCTTGCCATTAATGAATTGCTGCAGATTGATTAAAGAGTTTGATCGTGAAATTAAAGATGAGGAAAGCAAAAATCCTCCTGAAGTGAATAAGCAACTCAATGATGAGAAGCAGTCTATGGTTAGTTCTTTTGAACATTTGTGTTCTTAATCATTGATAATAATATGATGTGGCGGCGATGGATTCCCTTTTTTTTTTTTTCTTTTTTGGAGGCAAGTTAGTTAATGTATTAGAAGTAAGTTTTAGTGGGGAAAAACCAAAATCTTACTAAAATTTTAGGTAAATCATAAATTGAAAAGGATGCAGTGGCAGCAGTTGCCCCCACTGCCTTCATGAGGGTGTGTTTCAGTAGCATACTAATCAAGCAAAGAGTTTTGGGGGATGGTGTCCTAAAATGTGTGGGCTAGGAATTTGGAATCTGCCTGCAATCTCAATTAGGTGTCTGTGTTTTGCTTTTTGGCTATTTATGTATTGTCAACCTCCTAACATTTTAAAAATTGTTTCCTTTTGCAGATCAAAGAACTGAATTCCTATGTGGCATTGAGAAAAACGTAAGTTCTGGACCTTAGTTCTTATATTTGGGTGGTTTTTGCTGATGCCAAAAATTTGACATAATTAAATCAGTTTATGGTTGAAAATCTGCTCTTATATGTATAGGATAAACAATAATAGAAAAATATAGCAACTATATATTTTCCCAGAAATTAACAAGTTCCTGAACAGTGGCCTTTTATGTATAACCCATAAAATCTAATGAGCTTCCACCTGACTTGCCAACATTGCTTGGTGTTTTTACAATGTATATGTTAACTTTTATTATTGGCATAATTGCAGATTCATGAATACTCTTGGTAACAAGAAAGTTGAACTCTTTGATATGGGAGCAGGAGTAAGTGAACCTACTGCAGACGAAAATGTCAAAATGGCATCATGTAAGATCTTATTTATTTTCAGATATACCATTGAGTTTTGCTTTGTACGGCATGCTGTTTTCTAGAGCAATATGGTATCTTAACACACACACACACACACACACTAGTTTGTCTGTGCTTGATTCTACTCTTAAGTAGATTACTCAACCACTTATCTTTGTTTGTTTGTCTTGCCCTCTAGCAATGTCAAATCAGGAGCTTGTTGATCATGGAAGGAAAGCAATGGATGAGACTGATCAAGCCATTGAACGCTCTAAAATGGTAAAAATATCAATATGAACATGTTTAGGGTCTTCTTCACTTATTTCAACTTTTTAGACTAAATTCTGAGATGGTAGGTTGTCCAACAAACAATTGAAGTAGGAACACAAACTGCCGGGACCTTGAAGGGCCAAGTAAGTAGATTTATCAGTCTTCATAATTGTCATTTAAAGGTGTAACATTGCATATACTGATACAATGGTATGCAGACTGAACAAATGGGTCGTATTGTGAATGAGTTGGATACAATTCAGTTCTCCATTAAGAAGGCTTCCCAACTAGTGAAGGAGATTGGCAGACAGGTTTAGTTGATTGTTTGGGTTCTAAATCTGTCTCTTTAATTTAACTTTTTATGTGTATTACTATTTAAATTTCTTTTTTCACCCACAGGTGGCTACAGATAAATGTATCATGCTATTCCTCTTTCTTATCGTCTGTGGTGTGATTGCCATTATAGTTGTGAAGGTATTCATTTCACTCTATTCACTTATTTCTTTTAAATATTGTTGCCTTTAAGGTTTACTATCTTATGAACCAGTTGGTGAGTTCTCTTAGGGCATCATAGCACCATCAAAAGAATAATCTGAGAATTATTCAAATGTGAAGATTTTGAATAAAGAGATTATTATGTGGAACCTGAGCTCCATGATGCTCAGCCCTATGATTTATGATTAGAATCAGATGGAAGAGGTTCAATGCATGGAATGTCATCTTGCTAATAATATCTCTAATAGGCCTCATGTGTTCTGCATTTGTGTTTATGTGAAAACATGCTGGCACACAAATGTGCATCATTACCAGTGCTGGCTCATGCTCCATGCAATTTTTGTGACCTCTATAACTTCAATTTGTAAATCTTTCAGATTGTCAATCCCAACAACAAGGATATCAAGAACATTCCTGGATTGGCACCCCCAGTACCCTCAAGGAGGCTGTTATATGTAAGGGACCCTCAGTAATTGGAGTTGATGCATCATTCCAGACTGGAGATTGGCAATACCCATCTGGTTTTCCACGATATAGTTGGCTTAATGGGAGTGGAAGGTTTGGGGCAATGCAGTTCAGAGGAATGTATGGGTTTTCTCCTTGTCTTTTCAATATATCCGTTCTTGCTTGAGGTGTGCATATCCTGGTTCCTAACCTGTTTGTGTATATCATTTCCCGGCGGTCTTTGGCATTATTTTCAATGAGATTCCATGGTTCTTTTTGTACCCTTGAAGATTGTTGTAGAGGTAGAAAGTGATAACATACCTTGGTTATGAATGGACTCGACATGTGTAATGCTTAATTTCATATTTTAAAGGAAAATAGCTTCTTGGACTATTTTTATGATGCTGTATCTACTGCTGGTCATTAGCGCCTCTCTTTTGAAAACAAAGATGTTATTCTTAAATGATATTTGAAAACATCCAATTGCAAGTTGAAATTATGTTAGGTTAATTCTTCCATTGATTGCGTAATATCCCCAAATTTCACAACCAAAGAAATTACGAAGTTTTTCTCTAAGATCACTGTCAGCAAATCATCAGTCTTACTGAAAATAAATCTGTAAGCCGCACATTGCAGCCATGTAAGACTTGTAACTTGCAAGTCTGAATGAAAGAGGTCTAATTTTCACTGCCAAACGTGGCAGATCAGAGGAAGGAAACCTGCCTTCATGGTTTCTTCTTCTTAGCATGCATGCATACGCTCGATTCTATTTAGAAATAAATAAAAGGTCCTCTTTTACCCAGGATTTTTCTGACAGTCAAATAGGACTTGAATACAGTATGGTGAGCTCATGTTTTGTGCCACCATTCATGAAAGTAAGAATCATCCGTAGGTTATATTGCTGAACCAAGAAAAAAAAAAAAAAAAAAAATCATGGATTCTACAAATGAAAGTAATTACAACCAATTGCTCTTTTCTTTGAGTGTGAAATATCTAATCACTCGAAAAATGAATATTTTCCGTTGAGATAAGAGGTTAGAATGTGTGAACTGGCTTCCTATTGCATTCTGGTTTTCCTCAACTCAACTCAACAGGATTTCTGCATCTTTGTCTAAACTAGAACCTTGATATATTATCATGCAGTATGGTTGCCTAGCTGAGAACGTCCAATATTGAGATAGCCTTGATGGTGAAATTAGTGGGGCTTCTTCATCGACTTTTAATTCAGAAGCAGCAAAATTCCCCTCACCTCTTCCTCAAACACTAGCACTGCTGTTACTAGGAGTGAACAGGTCGGATGACCTCTTTTCCAATTTCCAATCCTGCATCAAGGAAAACATAGACATCAGACTTGGAAGCAAGTTGGGCAGTAGCATGAGCTCCATTCATGTCACATTAAAAGGAAGAAACTAAATCCAAAATTCCTCTCTCCATGAGCATCCCTAGCCTTTATGTAGTTATACATCCAGAAATTTGAGGAAACTGACCTTTGTGATTCTTTCTTGAATACTCTCAGAAGGTAGCTGAGATGCACGGACATCCCTGACCTTTATGTAGTTGTACATGACAACACCACAGAGAGCTGCAGAAAGAACAAATTGTCATTCATTGTGATAAAATAGCTTATGAAATAAAATTGGAGTAAAAGTATTTAGACATGATAAGTGTGGACTAGGTTTAAACAGTGAAGTACCAATGGCATAACCAATTATGTTCAGCCCAGTTATTGTAGATTCAGGAAATACAACAGTTGAAAGGGCAATGAGTATCCAGTCTTTTAAAACACCAGCAACCCTGATGGTAACTGCTCCAGTTCTCCCAATTACCAAGAAGATGGAGAAGTTCAAAGCCAGGGCACAAAGAGCATTGGAGAAGAAGATCCAGAAATTGAACTGTATTTGTGAAACTGCCATCACAGGCTTCTCCAGGAAATACCAAGGCACAAAAAGAAACACAAAACTGCACATAACAGATAAAAAGTGAGAAACTCATGCATTGGATTGATGTTGATCAACAGCACCAATTGCACAAACCACATTTAGAAAAACATTGTTAAATAATAAAGAGAGAGGTTTGATCACATTAGTTTATTAAAGCTCAACATGCCCATATTTGACATTACACAGACACTAGTTCCTTTCTACCATTGCTTTTCCTTTGGAAGACAAAAAGCAAGAGGTATCAGATCAGTGTACCTGCATGGTGCTATGTAATATAAGCTTGTAATGGGATTTAAGGTCAAGCCCTTCTTTTGCAGAAGGACTTGAGTTAAGACCAGCCTAAGAGCTTCAGCAAAGATGCCCGTAACCTGGTAAACTGTGCCCACTACATTAAAATGAATTTCCCCATATGAGGAAACGACAACTCCAACACTGACCAGCACCATGTTCAAGAACACGTCACACCTTGGTTTGTCAGTGCCACACAACACAGCCATGATGAATGTTGCCACTGGCACTGTAAAATGCAAATGCACAAGCTACAAATGTTAGGAATAGAGAGCCATACTATTTTATGGAATGAACAATGTTCCCTCCTTCCACTTACTTAGAGCTTTAAGCATTTGGATAAAGGCCACAGAAATGTGCAAGTAAGCAGTGTTACCAAACCTGTTAACACCAAAAGTGAAACAAATGACTGGGCTGTTTTCACCAAGAGTAGTTTTCACAATTATCTTCTGAAATCCAGTCTAATCTAATAAGTCCTATGCTCTAAGTAATTTATAATCTAATGCATAAGCATTAGCTAAACTTCAAAAGAAAAATGCATTCCTTCTTATAAAAGTAAAAAGAGCAAGAGAGAAATTTACTCCATATCAAGTTTTCTTGGAAAAATGATTAGGATTAAATCAAATGTTACATCTTCCAACAATTTTATTTGAGATCATTCCTGCCACAGTTAAGTGCTTACCAGAGACTTGATGCAAAGAAGGCACTTATTGGTATTACACATGTTGCATATCTGCCACATAGAAAAGGAAAGATAAAGATAAGGGCGGGGTGGTACAAAGCAAAGCAGAAAAATATAGCAATTTTGAGAAACCATACTTACATCTCCAATGTCATTTTGACAGGAGATACAACCTGCATGTTTAGATCAAAAGATAAAAATCCAGGTCATTTCAAGAAGAACAAAGTTCAAAGGAAAGAGCAATGTTCTGTAACACAGAAAAAGGTAGTAATTGTAGAAAGAAGTAAAAGAAAAAAAGGAAAACAAAGCTAAATTTGCATTTAGTTGGAACTCATACCTTGAATACACGAACAAGAAAAAATGCTACAGCTCCAGAGAATCCCATGTGAATCATGGTAAGTGTTATTGGGAGTGGAAAATTAAAGTATTTTGGAGACAGCACCCACTGTGAATAAAAAAGGTAGGGTCACTTTTCTTTTGGTACATATAATGAGTTCATGACACAGATACTTCAGTGAAAAGTTCACTCCTAAATCACACTGATAAGCCAATCATTATTTTCATTTTATTTCATGATATACAACAGTTAGCTATGAACCCAGTGACCTAAGGATAAGACCAATATGTATCTAATCCTACAATGTGCAACACTGCTATTAGCAGATTTAGACGCATCCTCCACAAATTGTTACTTAAAAAAGTAAAACTCTTTCCTAAACAAGAACTCTACTCTTATTATCAAAGTTGAGACCAGATAGACAACTATAGATTCAAAAATCAAGAAAGCATCAGTGCATTACCTTGTTATACAATATAACTCCCGAGGAAAGCAAAATGTAGATCAACAAGTACAGATAAGTTAACACAAGCGGCTTGTTGATCATCTTGGCTTTCCCGTTACTTCCACAGAGAGCAAAATAAACTCAAAAGCAAACCACACTCGTACAATCAATTTATTGTCACCAGCAGTTCAGAATTCCATTTACGTACATCAACAACAAAAAAGCCTCGATACAATTATCTAAATAAACCGTTCAGCTGTCGCTCTCCTTAGAAGAATTCCTGAAAATGAAAAGGAAAACACCAATACATCAATTAAACCCACCTAATTAAACACTAACACCATGAAAAAACACACATAATGATTGAAAACGAAACAGCAACCAAATTTTAGCCAAAATACAGTGATAAAAACAGCATCGAAAACTAATCCGATTCCAGCACCGACAATGTGAGTAACTTCAAAACTCGAAGATTACCAAATCTAGCTAATATCTAAACAAAGAAACGAAGACAATATCGCGCCTGATCCGATTGAGATCTAGCAATCAAAAACGGAACAGTAGAATATAAAGAACCGAAAATTAAAAAAAGAAAAAGAAAAAAGAAGCATTTACCGCGAAATCAATCGTCAGAAACAGCGATGCGACTCTGCAAAAGGAGCTGCTTCAGCGTCGCCGGTGATGGATCAGAGAAGAAAATGTGGCTGCTTGGGGCAGTGTGAACAAGTGAGGGGGAAAATGGGAACAGGAAAAGCAATAAATGCCTCCGTGCGTACTCGGAAGCAGAGGCAGACAAAACAAGTGGAGGGCAAGAGAAGGAAGGAATTAGTGAACGCCACCGCTTACGGTTCACAGCAGCAGGGCTAAGCTGGGGGGTTCCCGTGCGGGGACGCCTACGCGGTTTCTTGAAAAGGAAGGGTGGAGTCTGCCGTTGGATTTTCATCGGACGGTTCAAGTTTTTGACTGAAGGTATCTCCGTCATGTGATTTGTAGGCTTGATTACCGTTGGATTTGAATCGGACGGCTTGTGCTATGTAACCGATTTGATCCGCAAAATGTAATTTGATCGCCATTTTGGCATTGGGTAAATTACCTACAAATTATTATACCTTACCTCTTAATAATTATAATTAAATATTTTAATATTTTTATGAATAAATATTCATAATCTATGTCTATATTAAATTATAAAATAAAGGTACTCATTTAAAGTATAGGTCTTTTAATATTAAATTTTTTTATTTAATAAATTTATTTTACAAAGATTAAACAGTGAGTTTTCGTGCACATGGGACTATAGGCTCATTGGCATTAGCCATCTTATTAGGTGCATTTTCTTTTTTTTCTGGGCGGATTTCGAACCCATTCCATATCAAAATGTTCTAAAAAAAAAAAAAACAGTGAGTTTTCGTATTATTATTTTTATTATATTATTATTATTATTATTATTATTAATGTTGGTTGCATAAATGGTACAATCTTTTTTTATCTTTTATTTCACCCCACTCATATGGTATGTGACTCAAATTTTAAATTTTTTAATTACTTCGGTGGTCAATTACGCTATTATAAGTTTGCCTAATTATCGATTAGGACATTATTTTTCATATTTTTACTGTAGAAATTTTCTATAAGGAAATTTATGGAGGTTTTTTTTCAAATGACGAAACTATCCTTAACAAATTAACATGCGTAGTTGATTTATCCATGGTAGCATCGTTATTTCAATGCCAAAAGTAAAATTTTTATGGGTTAAATTCAATTGAATGGTCTGTTACTATAGGCTCTATATCGTTTTAGTCTAAAAATAATATTTTCTCCCAAATCGAGCTAAAAACAACTAATTTCTATACCTAAATGAAAATGCTAGATGTAAAAGGTTTTAAGTACAATATGAGGTGAGATTTTGTGATTAGCACATTTTATTTAGAAACTTTACATATATATATGTATATTCATTTATTTAATATTATATCATATTATAAAATCATTATAGTTAAAATCATTGTACTTAGTAAAATTGCTGATATTAAAATGGACTATTTCATCCAACTTCCATTAAGTGGCCTGGTAAAGGACCAAGTTGTCACTTAGGTGGTTCCACCTAATTAAGCTCCAAGTGATAATAAAATTAACCCATAAACTTATATTTTTACTAAGACAAATTGATTCTTAAAAATTAATTATTTTACCATGTAAACGGTTAAACCCCTCAAGTGGCAACAAAAAAGGAAGTGGATGTACGGAGAAGAGATGAAGGAAGGGTAGAAGGTCCAAGAAAAGAGAGGAAGGCTCACTAAGAAAGGGTGAGAGAGAAAGAAACGCGATAAGAAACAAATTCAGGTAAAAGTTTAGTTTTAACTCCTTACTTTATTAGATTTGATAGTTTTAACCCCTCATCTCATATTATGATATTTTTAGCCCCCCACCTATTAAAATTAAAGAAAATAACCTCCACTTATAACATTTTGTTAATTCTATTAGTTGACTGTTAACTCTATTAGCCAATTATTAATTAATTATTAACTGGTAAAAACTTACTTTAAGCTAATAGAGTTAACGGTCAGTTAATTTTGTTAATTGATTGTTAACTCTATTAGTTGACTATTAATTGACTGTTAATTGATAAAACATTATTTTCAACTAATAAAGTTAACAGTTAGTTAACAAAATTAACAATAAGTTAATAAAACTAACGAAATATTATAAAGTTATTTTCTTCAATTTTAATAGGTGAAGGGCTAAAAGTGTTATAATATAAGGTAAATAGCTAAAACCTACAAATCTAATAAGGTAAAATGTTAAAACTAAGTTTTTGCCACAAATTCAAGGTAACACAAGGTTCTTGTATTTCAAGTTAAAAAAAAAAAAAAAATGGAGAAAATGGGCTTTTAGCCCAGAATGAAACAATTGGCTTTTATTATGTGGATTTTGGGCCAACTGACTAATCTCATTCCAAATCCAATTAAGCAAGCGGCGGAGAAAGGCAACTTAAAGAGCTGATGAAGGCCCTTTAAATAAACTCTGGATTTACTCAGCCCATTAAGATACGCTCTTCGCTCCTTCCACCGCTGGGAATGACTGCTATTCCTGCTATACAGCACACAAAAAAAATTAAAAATTAAAAAATCTTTCAAAACCCCACTTAGCTTTTTCCTTTCCCACCACGTCAAAATAAAACGGTCTTTCATATTAATGTTGTGTAGCTATTTTTGATGAATCATGTTATTATAATGGTTAATGATAGTGGGGATTGGGCATTGAAGGTCGATAATGGAGTGGGACTGGGGAGCGTGGAGGAGGAACCCCACTAAACAGGATTGGGTGTATTAACCATTAAGTATTGAGCCCACTAAACTTTATTTTTCTTGAGTATTGCCTTTGAAGAGGGCCAACGGACACAAACTGATACACCTTGAAGGCAGGGGCAGTGCTGGTCGCTACTGTATCCCTACTAGGTTCTGAGTTCCATCTGTGTGGGGGGACTTCCCTCTGATGTACCAATCCCCTTCCCCTTGTAATAATACCCAAAAAAGGACACAAATAACTGCATTCTTAATCTTTGACTCTTTGTAATCACCATCTTAATTCATTCTAATCATGTAAATAACATATATTGGTAAAATTATTAATAATATGATCTAATAGTAAAATTACATATACTTTTAATTATAGGTTTAGATTTAATCTTTAGTTTTTACATTTAAAAAAAAAAAAAGTTTCAACCACTAGTTTAGTTGGTTATGTTGACAAAGAAAAGTTCCACAGAGAAGTTTAATCAAATAGGTGTTGCATGCACACGCGTACTCAATATTTCTAGGCTGCTAATCTCCAAGAAAACCAACAAACCCCATTTGGTTGGTAACTTCTTTAAAATAGTATTATTTGTTTGGAGCTTTTTAAACAACTTTTAAGAAAATATGGTTTGTCTTTGTTTCGGTTTTTGTAATAAAGAAGTTCTAAAAGTTGGGCAAAATGAGTACCAAACTCAGATAAGAGATCACTAGGTTCTTCCTAGGAGGTTTCCCTTGGACTAACTTCTAAACATAAAGATTCCTATATTCAACCAATTACGAATAGAAAAGAATAAAAATTGGGTTGCAGACTATTATAGTTGTTGGGGGGTTTGTATTAATAATCAGTATCAAATCTATGCTGGTAGCATTTTATCCAATGGAAAGTGATTCCCTGCTTGCTTTTGATTGACAGACAAGGAGCAGATATCTGACCAGGTCTAATGTATGAGGACCTTTGAGTTTGCAAATTTGGGTCCCATTCTCTTATCTACCCTACACAAATTCTGATTCAAAGCAATCTGCAGGAATGGAGGTCTCCTAGTGGAGACAGGTGGTGAGGAAGGAACTTTGGTATTTGGTAAGGCTAACTCTATATATTATTCAAAGCACACAAATGATATTCAAACTAAGATTATATGTGTTTCACTTACCAATGCTTTCTCAAGACTATATGCCTTTCTGAAGTTTGACTTTTGGTTTTTGGAAGGAGAATATGCTCAAATTATTTTTATATGCACACCGACACAATCCTTGTAGTTATATGTTCATGTTATCTTATTAAAAATTTTATTCATGTTTCCATTGTTTGTTCCTTCACCTTGTCCTTTTTCTGTTTGGTGACTTTCTACCCATCTAATTGATCTAGTTTCTAGAACAGTTTCTGTACTATAAAAAATAGAGTCTAGCGATTCCCTCTTTTCTAGTAAGATCTTACTAGAACATTTTGTAAGTTAATTATATTTCTAGAAAAGCTCCAACTGAGTGAAATGCACTAATCTATACGTTAGTATGGAGTGATTGTCACTAGTCATGGCATCGAATTGGATAGCTCAACATAGAAAAATCAATTGCCCTTAGTAGAGCTAGCATTCCTTGTCAATTAACCTCATTAACCATAGATGAGCAAAGAAGCTTTAAATTATAGTGACACGGAAATGGCATCAACTGTGGAGGTCCTTGAAAGTTATACATCACATTATCATAAATTGCTAGATGACAACATTTACAAGGTAATTTCCGTTTTGGAATTGATATCTTAGACCTTCAAAAGTCTAATGGACTAATGCTATCATCTATGCCCTATTAATTACTAGAGTTTTGAAAAGGATAAAACATGCAATGAACTTGTTCTTATCCAATAATTGCACAACTACATTTTCCCCTTTCCCTTCAACCCCATATCTTTAACAATCAGCCTTTGATTCTTAGTAGTTGGGAGTACTTAGGAAAATTGAGGGATTTGTGAAAATTGTGCATATAAGTTCAGCACAAAACTTATATACAACCTACAACCAATTGACAATAAATGGAGTAGCGCTCCTTATATTTAACCTACATACCTTTTTGTTTTAGACTCAAGGTGCGATTTTCCAA